CACTAACTGAATAGTTCTGTAGATATTTCATCACAAAGAGAATTAGTTTCAAAAAACTTACTAGCCTTTGAACTATTACAGAAAATACTGCATTTTTTATTCCTGACGTTTTCCATTTATTTGAGGTACCTAAACATTTTTTGAAAATGTTTATTTTTTATTAACTAAAAAATGTGTTGTAAATATGCCATAAAAGCTAAAGGTTTTTATCAATAAACAAACAAAATTAAAAAAAACATTTTTCAAAAACTAAAAGTTTTTATTTATGGCAACGTGTTTGGCTAATACATTTAAAAATGTTTACTTTTTTACTAGTTATCAGTTTTGTTTTACATAACAGAATATTGCTGGTTATAAATTGTTTTTCACTGAACATAACAAAAGCACTTTTGCAAAAATTGAACTAAACTGCAATTGATATATTAAATTAACTACTTTAGAAAAGTTTGCTTACCGTAAAATAGCTTATTTTCTATTTATTTTAAAAGTACATTTTCTTCTGAGTCACTTTACTCAAAACATTGTTTATTTTAAATTAGGTTTTTACTTATTTCTAAAGTAGTAAATATGTCGTTGTTATTTTATTAAAGTCGCGCTATAAACCTAATTATTTGCACAATTTCTTAATACCCTCTTCTCAATTTGCAAAGCTTCCAACTACAATATAATAATCCCTTCGCTAAAATGCATTTTACATCTGGAAATACCCACGGCTACAATTCACTTTATGAAAGCTAATATTAAAGTCCCTTTACATTTTTAGGATTGTTTACAAGAAATAGAGTTTTATTTTTACGATTTGAAAATGTAGTCAACCTATTTAAAGTTTTTGATGTGAATACAATTTGTGGTAAAACTTTTCTATATCGCCAATGGTATCGAGTAAAATTTCAAACCGCGATCTCAGTCACAATCAAAATCTATCCAACTGGGTTCAGAGTTGATAATGTGTTGTTTCCACCTGTTCGATTGTATAGAAATCCATTACCGATTCTATAAAGAATAAATATCTTATTGATTTTTTTCTTGCGAAACCATTAAAGTTCCACTTCAAATAGAAAGAGGTCGTTAGTTTTTCATACATTTTAAATGATCTTTATTGTTTGACTTTGAGCAATTAAAGGAAAGGTTTTAAACTGAATAATTTCAACACTTTGCAGTGTTAGTTTACGTGTAATTAATATGGGTGTTGTTCTCTGAACTCGCCTTATTTATTTACAAAATACGTAACTATAATTTTGAACAATAGTTGTTATTGTTGGGGAAAATTGCCTCGACTATTGGCACAAGTCGCCTAATAATTTCCAACTTTGCCGGTTTATTATCCTAAAGTTTCTAAAACGAAGTTGGACAATAAGCAGAAAATATTATTAGTCCCGGAATTGGCGGTAACCGTCCACAAGTTTGTCGTTACAATGACTCGGAAACAATAGAAGAAGTCGATCATTAATTTCGCTCGAAACGCAGTTGTCAGCACTTTACCTGAAGTATACACGAGAAGAAGAGCTAGAAGCAAGTGAGAGAAAGCAGACATTTTAAAAAGTACAGAATCCACTAGATAACAAACAAGTTTTGAAACTTTTCACATTTTTTACTCGCCGACACGATGTGCAAATTTGCGACTTTCATTGGTTCACCGTGTATATATCGGGACGTGCATGACGCAAACGGGGCTATAACGAGACGTCCAGCGTCGCGACGGCAGGATAACTGCGATTCGGTAGACTAGACGGCAGTGTTGACATGCGCGCCCTCTATAACACCCTGTTCTCTAGGTGTGCTCATACACTTCTTACAAAGTAGAAATATTTCAAAGAATCTCATTTGAGCTTGAAACACTGCGGTAACTGAGGAATTACTCCAATGTTGTCATTGTCTGAGGAGTCAAAGGTGAGAGATAAGACGTCGTTAAGTTTTAATCGGGGATTAGCTGCGTTTACGACTACTTCGAAAAGTAAATATGTGAAGCGATTTGAGGAAATTTCGATGATAATAAGGTCATCGTTTAATATAATTAATATGGGTGGGTTACCGCCAGACACGTGTATGTTCGACGCTTAACAAACACTACCTATGCTATTACTGCTTGAACAAATATTTGATGAGGGCTACAGTAATATATCCCGTGTACTACTCCTAGTTTAAGTGACAATGTAATGACGCCTCTTTTAAACGTTTACTTTAAACACATTATTTTCCAGTTTAACTATTACGAGTTGAGATATGAGAAAATGTTTAGTTTAAAACCTTAGAGTTTTTTTGTATAAAATGTTATTATTTAAATGGAAAGAATGGTCTCTTGTCAAAAATTAATTTGATACTGCACTTTCCCACTGACGCCATATCTCATTACATCGAAATTTTGAGAAAAAAAACACAAAAAATTAAAAAAGTTTATTTAGTGCTGTATTAAGCAATTAAGCAATAAGTAGTGCTTTTATAAACTAATTTTACTGGATAAAGTAGTCTTTCATCGTCTAGTGAAATGAAGTAATTTTTATTTACTGTTTATATTTTATCAACTAATTTCAGTAGAAAAGTAGTCTTTTATCGTCTAGGGAAATAAAATAATTTTTGCCTACTGTTTATATTCAAGAAATTCTGGTAGGCAAAAAATAACCGTTATTATACAAGACGATAAAGAAATTAGGTATCTATACAATTCCAAAAATAAAATTTTCTCTCAATTACATTAGAGAGTTCACAATGTCAAAAATAATCAAATGTTTAAAAAAAATAATAGTTATTTATTATACAAGACGATAAAATTGAATTTTATCTTTGAGAGCCATTTAGCGTCGAGACGTCAGCCGAGACGTTAATATGCTCGAAACGATAATGAACATTTTATCATCGTGTACAATATAAAATTTGATTCAATCCTCACTAATTTTGTAGCCAATTTGGTCGATATTTATAAATGTCAAAGTAAAACTCAACTATGAAATCTAATGTCAAAGATTGTTAGCAAGTAACAACGGCACATATACAACAATGGATGTATTTTTTATCATCTAGACGATAAAATTTCATTTTAATATGAAGAAAAGTCTAGATAAAATTCAATTTTAACATAGAGGATTGAATATTTATTTAAAATTAATTCGGAAAAAAAAGTATCGACAAGTAAAGTTTGAAATTTCAAGGGTGTTTTCATTTTTGCAAAAAACAACTTACAATAAAACGACCAACTAATTTCTCCTAAGTTTGTAAGCTCTTATTTTTCATTTATATTAATTTATAAAATTTGTTGAAATTTGATGCTGAAAATATTCGCCGAGTTTGCACAAGTATTTATGTTTTTTTTTTAAATCTACTTTTTTCAATATTTTTCATTAAAGCTTTTGTTCATAAAAGAAGAGTGAAGTTAATTTTCACTTCATTTATCAGAGAACAAAGACTTAAAAGTTTTTTACCAGTTTGATTTTTATTATGAAAAAAATGTTTGGTTATTGTATAAATCAACAAAATATTGATAAAGCCAACTTTTACTTTTTGTATTATAACACAAATAATAAGATTAATAATAATTAGTAAATACGTAATATATTGATTTTTCTAATACCTCCATTAATAGTATATTTTAAAATTTTGAAAACATGACATATGACAGTTTAAGTTGGAAAATGGTCACTTCCTTATCAGTTTTCTGATCAGGAAGTGATCATTTCTCAACCTGAACTGATATTTTATATAAATTGTCAAGTCTAAATATCATACTTTAAAACTTTTTACTTGCAAGGTAATTTGATTATTACATTATGATTGGGAATAAAGTTCAACAGAGAATAAAGTGACGCATTATTTTCTCGTTGTGACTATTTCCTTCGAAAATAAAATAATAAATGAAGTATGTACCAATTTTTACTCTTAAAATGAGCTAAAATTGAATCTTGACATAAACAAACTTTTTGATACCTATATTTACTCTTAAAATTGCAATTGGATGTTTTTTACTTTTTTTATAATGAGCTATAGTGTGCAACAAGGACAAAATTACGTTTTTACTTGTTTCATATTATTACCGATTCTTTTCTGCATGTGGACCAATTTGTTTAAAATTTTTATCTTCTGGTGCCCTAGAGATACAAAGCATTGAAAAAGACGTTGCTTTTCTATTGTTACTAAATATTCGTTCAGAAACTAGGCTACATAAAAAGGTAGTTAAACCAAAAATTATTGCTTATGTTACCAAAAGATCCCAATTACATCTTTGAACACAAAAAATCTGAAAAACTTGGAACTTCGAAAGATTAAAACAAGTAAAACGGTTAATTATTAGAAGCTTTCATGCCCTATTTTAACGTTTTAACACATTCGGCCTACTTAATACGAACATTCATTGAGATGTAATTGGGAGATGTAAAGCTTTTTTGAAGGTTTAATATCTCTATTCAAATTATGGAAAATGTGGTACAAAATTCGGAAAAGAATGGGCAAAAATCTGAAATTAGTAAAAACTTAAGTTTGACTCTGTTGCACACACGACAGCTCAGTATAAAAATAAGTAAAAAAACAGTGTCTTCGTCTTTTAAGTATTACATTTAGAAGATAAAACTAGAAATCTTATTGAATTAAATTGCAATGATCTGCAAAGTTTTTTCTTTAAGCCAAACAAAAATTCGTCAAAATCCGACAAAGAATAACAAAAATATTGCAATGTGAAAACTCGTAAAATTTTAATTGTCCGGTTAATTTTAACGGCTAGTGTAGAAATGCGCTACTTTTTTTTACTTATTTTTTCTCGGATTTAAAATAGTAAAATAGTTGTTTATTCCCTTGATATATCAATAACTATTACATTTTTCTTTTTCTTTTTCATAATTTTTGTGTTATTTTAGTTGGTGTTTAGTTTCAACGATTGTTTTTGCATCCATTTCTTTCCTTGTCCCAGCTTTCTGGGCCTTTGAAATAAGGTTTTGAGTTATTATTTCCAGTGCGAACATATTTGCCCACTTTATCTTCTCAGATAGAAAAATATATGTAGTTTTATAGCATCCATCTGACAGGTGCAGAGTACCCATCCAAGTCGAGATTTATAGTAGACGAAGTCAGCGTCATCAATATCCACTAAGTTTGTAATAGTGGATGTCAAAGTGGATTGAACTCTGTGTTAGATGATGGATATGTGAAAGACTCAATTACAGATAGATACAATACTGTTATTTGTCAAAATCTTGATAATATCTCGTAGCTAATAACGAATTTTTTGTAAAAGTCGTAGTTGGGGTTTTGAAAATGTGCCGCAAAACGAGGATACTCATCAATACCCTCGGGCACTAAAAAGAGATTAAAAAATCCATCTGCAAAATCTCATATTTCATGACAAGTCAGACAGAGCTGTTCTCTTATTGGAAACAATGTTTCATATTTATGAAAGAACGGGATGTCATGTTTCATTATGGAGATTCTATAGAGCAGTCATTAATTTAAGTGTAGGGTAGATAAGCCAGTTTTGTGTCTCCAATGTAAAACATTTTAAATTATCAACAGATCTCGAACTACTGACCAGAAAGCTATTATTTGAAACAACGATAATTAGTCCAATTGATTATTTCAATGGAGCGTTTAATTTCACAGTCCTGGTTTATTTATTACCATCGATTGTTAGATTTTAATTTTAAAAGATTTCGACCTCTTCACGCAATCGGAAACGTTCGCGAGATCAATAAGCTATTAATAACAACCGGCGTTATGAAAGAACGTGAAATTAATATTTGGATGGCACGATTACGTCTTAAATTCCGACATTTTTGGAAGTTGGCTCTTCTGCGGTTCACATATTGAATTGAAATGTATTACTTTGTTTTCAAGAAGTTTAGTTTAGTCACGTTTAAGCTGTTGAATTTTCAATAGTCGTTAGAAAAAAAAAAACAAATTGCGTGTTGTGGCGGTTTCTAAGATTTGCTCGAAATTGTTTGAAAATTAATAAACTACTTTAAAAATCGAACTAAAAGCAAAACACTGAAACACAATTTGGGGCCCTGTAGTGGCCACACATTTGTTTTAATTATGCCGCAAAGATAAAACTACAGTCCATGTTTATAACATAGTTTATCAGATAGCTTTCAAAACACGCTCCATACAAACCAAAATGTTAAAACCTTCCTGATGATAACATAAACACTTGCTTTATGTTTCTACTCTGATCAAAGCACTTTACTTATGCGAGCAACATAACAACAACATCACAAAGAAGTGGATGCTAAATGGATGTTGCGATTTCAATCAACCTATGTAAATTACGCTGTAAAATTGCCGCAAACTTCACGACTCTCATTAGGAGTTTGAAGAAATAGTAAAATTGTTTATTGAAAAAACTAAACGAAATTTAATAACTGAAATCTTTTCATTATATTTCAAATTCGAACTACTTAGTCGCAAAATGAGCTACAAAAGCAAGGCTGGGTTGTCCACTAACCGATTTTTTTGTAATTGTCGCTTTAGAGACTGTTTCTAGGTCAGCTTGAATCTGATTTAGTGAGTAGCTTTGTCTGCGTACATTTGAATTCAGAATGCACCTCTATACTAACATCTCGAGCAGTCGTCGTGTTGCGCTTCAGGAGAATTGATCGAGCCATTTGTGTTATATGAAATGTGATTATGGGATTTTATGAGCTGCCTTGTATGAAATCCGAGCTCTTGCTCGGTTTTAACCTTTACATTTATCTCTTTCAATTATAGGTGATTTTTCTTTGTGAAGTTTCTGCATTATGGATATGTTTTCCCAACAGGAGTTTGTACGTTTTGTTGGGCTAGAAAACAAAACTATTTACTTAATTAGTGCAGAAGAGTGTAGTTCGATGTGAAATGTTTCCAACAACAACATAGAATCTCATTACTTGTGTTAAAGCTGCAATGTTTTTATTAGAACAGAGAATAGGGAATACGCCTACAGCTTTACAAATAAACTAACTTACTTAAAAAAAAACTATTTAGTTGATTTAATCTAATAAATAAAACTATTTTTCTGAGAGCAATCGTGTCATTGTTAGACATTAATCAAAGTTGATGCAGATCCATAAGACTTATATAAACATATTTCTTCCGGGCAAAAGTATAACATAAGTTATATTTTTTCATCTAAAGTTGAAAAGGTAGTCAAAAGCAATTCCAGCAGTGAGTCCTCTGAGACAACTTCCAACTTTTAGAATATTGTTTACTACATGTTCAACCGGCTAGATGTGTCGCGTTCTATCATCCAATTGTATTTTGTTTGATTCTTTTATTCGATGTTAAAACTTTGTCCGTGAATTCGAACAATTAATGAAAGCGATTCAGTCATTCCGTTTTTTCCCTATGTTTATCCGGTTCGAATCGGATTTATTTGAGTAAACCTATAAATGCAATTCATCCTTCTGCGCTTTTTACATTGGCTTTAGAAAAGACTCAACAAATCGGTAATTACCCAGCATTTTTATTCACTTTAATAAAGATTATTCTGACGTTGAAAATTTCTATAACAGTTGTTTCCCCTTCGTTCTATTTACCTACAAAGCAATTGTAGTGTAGGTAAAGCAATTAACTCGAACAAAACACAAGATGCATGAACCCATAAACAATTCACAAATTGTTAATTAATCATCAAAATTAATTAAAACGCGTCGTTTAAGCTGATTAAGTTGAGATGTACGACTTAAATATCTCAAAAATATTGTATCGATTTTTTCGGAATAAACAAGATACTTTTCGAAGCAGATTAAAAAGGTTTGATTTATGCTTTTATTATTGCAGATGTTCATTTCAGGTAATTTTTTCCGTCTTTTAATTCCTTCCGGAAATGTAGTTTTGAGCTTTCAGAACCGTTTATTGAATTACGCTTTAAGATCTGATTTACTCTTTCTAGGTAATTGAGTTTAGGTGACTTTTTCAGACAGTTTGACGTGTGGTGAATTAGCACTTTAGTGTTAATTTAGTTAAAATAGAGCGATGAATGGTGTGTCTTACGTAAACCGTCGCAATTTATGTTAATTATTATTCGCTCAAATTCAATGGTTTGTTAAGACAAGTTTAGATTGTCCATTAACATAATTTCCCGAACTCGTAACTGTATTGAGCTCAAATAACTAATTAGAAATGTCTGAATTTTGCAGGGTTAAAAGTAATTTATTTAGTTTAAAAGGATTAAAAAGTATTATCGTTATATTACACATCAAAGGCAAAACTCGGTTCTTTCTGAAAGGTAAACGAGTTAATGCTTTCGAGTGAATTGAGTTTATTTCCTCTTATATTTCGTTGACAAGTCTGCGAGATGTATGCGTGAATTTCCTCATCTCTGAAATTTATGACATTACAGAGAAACCTGCTAAACCTTATTTAGTAATGCTCTAGATAAAATCAGAGGAAGCCGAAGCGATTTGTACTACATGATCTAGTTCTACGTGACGAAGCCTTTATTACAAAACTGTTCTACACTTCATTACACCACGGTTTTTCCCATGTGCAACAAAGAACCGTTTCTGTAATGGATACACAAGTGAAACAAACTTCACGTACCTAACTATAAAAGAAAAATGTGATAAATAAAAGCTTGCTTCATAAATCAAATGTGAAAAATTACATCGCTGACATTAATGGACGCTTTTAGATATGGGATTCAACGTCAACTTAAAATGCTGACATTCTAAGCATGCAACGGATAATATCGAAACATTTACACCTTATCAACACCAATTTACATCTTTATCAATGAATTTATTTAGACGAATTTCCTTCAGGAGCACTTGTTAAGCCACCACTGCGATAAACTTTCAGTTTTAAAAGATATCAGTCACGACACGTATTCTCAGGGTCGGAGTAGCTTAAAGAGCAACTTTTCCGGTTTTTTAACTTTTTATTCTTCGTAAAAACTGTTGTTATACTTTTTGTAAAATTCGTCCCACTCATCTTGATTTTCACAGCGGCTTTTTTCGATCGTTCCCTCTTTTTCAACACAGCACCAATAACCCTCGTCATCTATTAAAACAGAATTGTATTTATCTGAACATTTGCACTTGGGCTCGTCGAGAAAAAAACACTCAATTGTTAATTTAAAAAAAAATCCATTGCACCAACTTTGATTATTACTGTGTTGTATTTTAAAACCTTGAGGGCAACTGCAATTGTTGGCCATTATTGAACTAGTTGGAAATAAAAGAAGGAGCAAAAAATAATACCTAAAACAACACTAAAACTAAAAAAATATTGTGGAAACAAGTCTTACATTGTTGGTTATAAGGCGAAAAAGCTATTGTGATATTGTAACAACATCAACTGATTTTTTTTGATTTATGAACTACACATTTACGCTTGTCAGTTAACAATGTCACAATCACAAATTATAATAATTTACTCGAAATAGGAAATCATTATTTAATAAATTGTGTCAATGGCATTGTTGGGTGTGAATGAAAAGTGAAATGTTGTTCCAATTTAATTATTATTATTTTGATTAATGTCAAATTAAATTCAAAACTGTCCAATTCCTAGTTGACTCTCTTGAAATTGTTTCATGTTCTCATTATAAATGTCCCATTCGACTGTATTTTCACATGGCCATTTGTATTTGCTCTTTATTTTATAAATTACACAAAAGGTGCCAGTTTTGTCAGTCAAAATCGAATGAGCCCCTGGACATTTACATCGAGGTCTTAAAGGCTCATTGCAATAATGTTGTTTATTGTACGTAAACCAATCCCTTCCAAGACACCGGAGATTGTTCGTACATTCATCTCTTAAACAATCTCTGACTTCATATCCTGGCCAGCACTGACATTCTGAATCTTGCTGAATAGTTAAGTTGATTAAAAAAAATAGACAAATAAAAAAAAATAATCGAACCCTAAAAAATGTAAAAAGTTGTAGTCAACACAAAAAAAAATACTTACATTTTGAATTAAGTGTACACTTGACAAGAGTTACATTAATCGATGACTTATATACTTAAATCAAGGCCTAAAATTTTAATACATTTTTATTGTTTGACCAAGATTTATATTTCAATAAAATATTAATAACTTCTTTTGTTCTTTCACTGTAACAATGAAGTGATTAATTTTTAAAAGCAACTAAAATATGATATAGGTTCATATTAGTTTATGTTGTACAAAAAATAAACTGTTTTACTGTTTTACATTGTTGGTTTTTCGACGACAAAGCTATTGTAATAACATCAACAAAATTTTTAGATTTATAAATTACACATTTTTTACTTTTGTCAATAACATTGTTGGGTGTTAATGAAAAGTACAAAATCTCAATTTGATTAATTACTATTATCAATAATTAAAATTATTAATTAATTATTAATATTAAAATTATTAAGTGAAATTCAAAACTGCCCAATTATTGGTTGTTTTTCTTGAAATTTTTTCCAATTCTTATTGTAAATATCCCATTCGACTTTATTTTCACATTCCAACCTTGTTAAACCTCCCATTGCATTAGAAATTACACAATAGGTGCCAGTGTTTTCAGTCAAAACCGAATCGGCTCCTCGACATTCGCAACGAGGTCTTAAAGGCTGATTGCAAAAATGTCTTCTTTTGAACGTTGTTGGATTCATTCCAACACATCGGAGATTCTTCACAGATTCATCTTTTAAACCATCTCTGACTTCTTCATATCCTGGCCAACACAAATATTCTGAATCTTGCTGAATTGTTGAGTGGATTAAACAGATTAAACAAATGAGAGAAAATAATCGGGCCCTAAAACAATGTATAAAAGAGTTGAAGTCAACACTTAAAAAATACTTGCATTTTAATGGACTATCCACAAAATTATGATTAGTCGATTTATATAGGTACATACATACCATAATCAATACATAAAAGGTTTTTATTTTTTTTTTTGATTTTGTGTAATAATATAATTATTATTTGTTTGTTTTTAATTTTAACAATACAGTAATTAGTTTTTAAAACCAATTAAAATTTGAAATCGATTTGAAATAGCTCAGGTTGTGCAAAAGATGGCTCTCATAAACTGTTTCGAAGCATATTCTCTGGAGTGTTTTCGATAATGCTGATAGATTGGCTTGTAAATAAAACTCTACAAGCTAGAAAAATAGCCTAGTTAATTTTATTACTTGGTACAAGTACTTGACCCTAAATTATGTTCTGAAGCATCAATCAAATCGACAGTTTAGTTCTGTAATTGGAGGATCAATTATAGCAAGTTGTGTCAATTGTGTTTGATGTATCTTGTGTATAAATTTGATGAAATGAAACAAGTCATGAAGCAACACTTCATGTTGGCATTTTACTAGTCGTTACCGTAAATTTCCCTTGACAATGTCCGGCCCTCTGTGTCGAGACTGCAGAATCGTTGAGCAACGGACATTCGGCTGGCACATTGGGATGGTATCAAGGTCCGATGGCAAATTGAACCAATTCGTATTACAACAGACTGTTAAAATAATAGTCGGCGTTTCCACTTTTAACAGGGCACCGTTTTTTCATTTTCCCTAAATTTTTACGGCGGTTTTCTCATTTTTTATCTATTATCTTTAGTGTTTTCGTCGTGCGCGTTGGAGTCCCCACGGTGCTGAAAAATTTTAACGAAAAAATTGTCGGGCTTTATTTATTTACTGAAGTTGAGTCACTTGTATAATGCATTGGTCCCCGGTGCGTTTTTTAAACTTAAACAAGAATGGATAGTTTTGTTTGAAAATCTTGGGTCTTGCCGCAGTGAAGCCAACCCTCCACATTTCCCTAATTTAATGCAAATTATAGATACTGTTTGAATGTGATAAAAAAGTTGTTGATTAAATTTTGTCTCTCTCAAACTTCATGACACTGAGGCAAGGAAAATTCAATCTCACACTGCGTCCATCAGAAAAACATTTCACGCCTTGTGGAAAATGACCTCTGTGACAGTTACGACAACATTTAAAATTCGACTTCGGAACTGAAACAATCGGAAAGTGTGACTGTAATAAACCATGGAACATCTCGGAGGAAACCGCCCCTAATCTGGGAAACTCTCTTGCTTAACCGCTCGCCAACGTGGAATGTTCCTAATGGCTTTTTCGCCAAATCTAAAACGTACTTACATTTTAATAATGGATTGGCTTATGGCAAATCAATAGCAAGTATGTCGTTCGACTCCTTGCCTATCTCCCTGTCACTTTCCAACTCGCACACAGCCGCAAATTGTTAATACAAAATTTACAACCCCATTAAAGCCCATAAACACAATTGCTCTTTAATAAAATAGATCGCCCTCTTTTAAGTGAAACACCCGACCGTTTTATTCACCCTCTCCATATTTTCTCAATAATTGATACAAAATAAACAAATCACTACCAAGTGGTTCTTTTTACTCAACCGTCTATGCAAATACCACAACGAACAATTTGCATTCGGTTTAGCATAATTGCGCAAAGAGCTAAAAGAGCGTAAAATCGACGATTTCTATCTGGCTATAGCTACGATATTAAAATTAAACTCCTATTCATATTCAAATTGCATTTATAACCACTTACATGATCACGTGTATTATGTTTCAGCGAAATTCAATTTGGTAATTAAATTTGCTCCAAGTCCTCCGGCTCACTCGCTACACACACTCAAAAAACAAGTAAAAATAAATTTTGAAAAAAAATTACAGTGGAACTCCTCTATAACGAGTTCCAGTTATAACAAAAAATCGGCTATAACGAGTAAATCGTATGGTTCCTTGTCGTTTTGTATACTACTTTATGTAAAATTATCTCTCTATAGCCTGTATTTTTCTGAAATTGATGTGGATATAGCAAAACTTTTATTTTGTCCCAAATCGGTAATAGCCAGAAATTTTGAGGAATTTCGGAAACAGATCGGTTATAACGACAGTTCTTAGAAGAAATAAAAAGCCTGCGAGTCTCCATTACGTATTGAGTACTAGATTTTTTTTTAAGAAATGTTGGAAATGTTGTTTTTGCATGCTAATGGTATTATTTTTCTCACTTTCTCAGCCTTGAACAACTTTTCAAGAAGAGAACACTTTGTCCTTCTGTATCAATATGTCGTCTTAAAGAAAATCATTTTGTATCAAAGAAAATATCAATAATAAAAGTTCTAAAGTAGTAAAAAACAAGGTGTAATCTGTAAACAGAAAAATTTAGCGAGTTCTACATTGGCAACAATTTTAAAGAACAAGGACAAGAGCCTTGAACAATTGGAATCTGCAGTTGATAAGATAAAAATGCTTCACTGCAGAAAACAAACAATAATTACAGAGTTTTTTTCTTAAATATTGTTTTAAATTTCTTTAATATTTCTATTTAATAAATAATTTACATAGTACATGTGTAAAAACTTTTATTTTGTACTCAATGTTAAAGAGTGATTTTATCAATTAATTTTAGTAGATAATGTAGTCTTTTATCGTCTTGTGAAATAAAGTAATTTTTATCTAGTGTTTATATTTTATCAACTAATTTCAATAGATAAAATGGTCTTTTCATGGTCATTCCCTTAGATACATAAGGTGAAAAGTGGTATATAACTAAATATATAAATTTTTCAATTTATATATACTTGATTTGATATCTGTCAAAATTAAGCTCAAAGTTTTCAATAAATTCACGTTTTTTATAAAATTTTGCTGACGATCATGAAAAACGTTGTTCGATACACGTGCGCTGTCTTTTTCAAGTCTTCGACTTCCACTGCAGCACTCAGCTTCGCTTCGTGCCCCAAAATTCGGTCACAGATCTGAAAAATAATTTGACTACTGTGTAGAAATTCTAGTAGGAGAGTACAAAATAAAACGGAATATTATACACGACGATAAAGATTGTTTATCAACTTGTGATAAAAGTCTACCCGTGACTTTGTCACTCGTAAACTTAACCTTTTCACTCGTAGATAAACAACTTCTTTATCGTCTTGTATAATAAATAACTATTATTATCCAAGTTTATAGCGAAAATCAGTTATAATGAACAAATACGTTGGACCCTTGAGTTCTCGTTATAGAGGGGTTCTACTGTACTAGTAAAAGAGTTTAAAATAGTATTTATTTTGCAAATATTACACTTTTACAGCTCTTCCTTTATTAAATTCCTCAGTGTTCTTCTTATAAGTGCTCCACTTTTCGGCATTTTCACAATCCCATTTTTTCTGTGATTCACCGTTTTTGGTAAAGTCACAATAAGTACCATTTTCATCAGTTACAATACCAGTAGCATTTGTACATTTGCAATGAGGTCGGACAGGTTGGTTACAATAGTGCCTCTTGTTGTACGCAATCCAGGATACCCCAAGACATCGAAGATCAGTTGTTTCAGCAATACTATCATTAGTTACTTCATAACCTGGCCAACATTTACACTCCAACTGTTCTTGAAACGCAAAATGAATTAAAGATGCACACGCGAGAAGAAAAATGAAGCGAATCCTGTGAAAATACTTTTTTAAATAAAGTTTTTTTTGGGAGAGTACTTACATTTTTGGTGTTGTCGAATCGCAGACTTGAGCTAAATAAAAACAGTTCTTGAGATTGACTGTGAGGGTTATCAGTAATTTAATCAACAAACATTTAGATAACAAAAACATTAGTATAATCACAACAAATTTTAAACACATAATCACAAATTCGGAGAAATTAAATTTTGTAATTAAAGACTTGTTTTTTGGTAATATTTACACACAATTTTTTTAATGTGTGAAAACACGTTTCACTGGCTCGTTAAAAATGCTCATCACTTGTCAACAAATAAAAATCCCAGTAATCTGTTATTGTTTGTTTTGATTTTAACCAAATCCTCGAAAGTGTAAATTTATTGGATTTTTTGCAAGATGGGTGTTTTGTGCTAATTTGCATGGAGTCGTGATTGATGATTGTATAACTATAGACGTCGTTAACTTAACAATGTTGTTAAACTATTTTACTAATCAGAGATCTTAAAAACAAAATTTAATGTGTATAATTTTAACGATAACAGCGCGTGTGTTGGTTATTAAACTGTTTTAAAGCCATCAGATGTGGGAAATAAAACAAGGTAAGGTTGTTGAGTAAATATGTGCAAGTTAGAAATTATGGTCATATTTTAATGAAGAGACAGAAGAAAGGCATTGTTTGGTAGTTTATTGGGGTTGTTTTGGTCAGTCGGTTTTAAGGGTTTTAATTGAAAGTCTATTTCCGTTTCAATAATATTTCGTAATTTTAAAACTGGCGCAGAGAATCGATTAAATCGTTCAAGTCATGCAGAGTTTTCGTGCTTCTCTCAAACGAAATTTAGTGTTATAGCTGGAAGCACTCAACATATGGCGCTTGTTTCGAAAACACTTAACCGAATTGTCATTACGTTGCTCATCTCTTAAAGTACCTTGATGATTTATTGCCAAAAGTGAAGACAAGAATTACGTCCAATACGTACAATGAAGGGGCACTTAATGGAGCTTAAGCTTAGCATCCCTCGAGATTTCCATTCATAAGCAAATGCGCGAAGATTAATAACGAGGGAAAATATTTGCCTAATTTCTGTCGTCGATTCAAAGAATTGTTTTCATGCTAATATGAGAAGCCATTGTAATAAGTAACTGATAAAAGGTATATGCATTTGAATTTCAAACGCTCGAGTTTACATTTCTTGCTCTCTGTGGTTTGCTTTCTCACAAGATAAATAGAACTAGATTGGAGAACACATTTTGTCCCTTGGTTTATTCCTTTAACTTTCCAGCAGCGGAATAATAAATAATTCGGAGAGATAAACTAAAGGATTATTTAAATACCAAATTGCGATTGTGTAAAATTCAGAAAGATATTAGCCGACGGCTTTTACTCGCAATTTATTTTCGTTTCGAATACAAACAAAATCAACGAAATTATTTTAGCTGTTTCTATTTTGTGCGGCAGCGTAATTAAAACTCCCTTTCTTTGGCTTAAGTAAAAATCAACTCTTTTCTTGCTTTGACTTGACAGCGAACAAGTAGCTTTATATCACAATTTACCTTTCACACTTGCTATTTCCGAGATAAAGGAAAATTTGCGTCACACTGGTTTAAGATTACAGCTGAAGACCCTGATTTACAAAAGGCCAACTGTGCTTCATCGAAAAAATCTTCCTGATTACATTTTAATTAAAGAGTGAAACAGTGAAGTCTAGAAATGGCTTCTGTTATCGCGAGTAAGCCATTGTTAGAACATAATACAGAATAATTCAGCAATCTCCGTCACGAGTAAGAAATTCCCCTTGTAGGGAACCACTCGGAGTAACACAGGGTAATTAGGCGTAACGCGATTCTCTAAAAGGGGTCCTGTGTGTCTATACAGCCTCATCAATTTTAAAATGTCATATTAAATTTTCAATCACTAAATCAAAATTCTTGCACCTTCTAACTATCCCCAAGAGTGCACTTTGATAGCAAATATTTAGTAATTAGTCAGAGTAAATAAAAAACCGTTTTATTTGCATCAACAGGTTTGTAATTATTAATCGTACAAACCGAAATCGATTACTAAACTTTGTTTAAACTCTAATCTCCAGAGTTGTCAACCTTTATCAAAGATACCTACAAAAACACCAAATTTTTAACTTTTTGCCCATCAAATAAATTGGGTTACTTTTGCACGATTTAACTCATTACCAATTAAATTTTTACACGTTTCGTTCAACACATTAAACTGTTTTTGTAAGTGTTTAATGAATCGGTTAAAATGTATCAAAATTGAGCTATAAATTTAGTGTCCCGGCGCATCCACCATTTTGCTAAATTTGGCTTAGATTGACACATGAGTGTTTTATTTTTATGAAACCAACAAAGTCTTTCAATTATGTTATTTTCTCTTAGGGTTTCTCATTTATATTTCAGTCCAAGTGAGACGTTTATTTCGAGAAACTGGCAGAATTGTGTTTACACAACTTTAACGTTATGTTTACTTATACTTGGATCTTGTTTGTAGTTTAGTGACAAAATAAATAAAGAAGAAGTGTGTATAACCGAAACACGTAAAACAAATCTCGCGAGACCTTGCCTAACGTTCTTCTAATAACAAATGCACACAAAACCTCTTTGCAGGAGAACTTGCCTGGAATAATATTCTTTATAAAAAGAAAGCACTCACCTGAAAATTCTTATAATTTATAACTGAATTTAACTATTTACCGACTGTAGACGTCGCGACTGTTGACACTCGGTGAATTGCTTCATTCTATTGCTCATTTCTCGTTCCCAAGTCGTCTCAACATTAAATTATTAAAAACTCGCTTTACTCACAACTGTTTATTTAAAAAATGCAGATTTTCTCCATTTATCGCGGCGGAAGTGAGGAATTTTCTCATTTTGTGCATTTTTTAAATTACATTCGGGCAATATTTTATTATTTGTCGAGTCGGCAACCCTTTTCACGACTTCCTGGCTTATATCTTTTCCATTAGGGATTTGTTCGAAAACCAAGGGATGGTTCATTACGAAGGCCTCTATGCAGTCGTCATTAATTTAAAGGAAGGTAAGCTTTGAGATCCGCGTCACCGCATTCAACGCCGCATCTTTGTCCCAGCTTAACCGACCAAAAGATATATCGGCACGATTTATAACCACTGAATTAAAAGCTTCTGATACAAGAATTATTGCGAAAAAATTTTCGCAGATCCAATATGTCAGGAAATGGCAGCGATGCTGGAAGTTCAATTATGGCAGTTGCTCGTGACCCTTTCTGCTTTCATTCTAACCCTTTATAATCTTTACAATCTTGGACGTATAGATTCGAGGTCGCTCTCTTGAGCCCATTTTCAATGGAGCAGGATTTCAGGTTTTTATTCTGAACGGTTTTAAAGCGTTTGTTGACTGAATTAATCTCCCCAAGTGCACTCCAGCGATTCATTGTTTGTGTCGATTTATTATTATATTTACATTTTTACAAAAGGTAATTTATTAAAAAGACCGGAACTAATTAAATAAAAATAAAATTTGGCACTGGTGTTAATAGTGTTTTCACAGATTGTATTGCCAATTAACTCAAAGATTACCCTTCTGGAAATTAATTTGTAACAGTTGTAAAGAGTCGTCATAAACATGCTCGAAAAGCTGCAACATTTTATCCGTTTTATTTTACATTGTGGTATTATTTATGGCCGCCCTTTTTATCGTTTATAACACACTTTTCTCTTTACGATTATAATAGAAAAAGTAAATATTTTAAATTGTGCACATTTAACGAAATCTTTTATGAATATTAACCACTCGTTTCCATTTTAAATGCAAATTGTAATTGGCAAACGCCAACTATTTAGAGCACTTAAACTAACTAAAATTGAATAAAGTTGCCAGTGGAGAATTCACACTTGTTATAAATTCAATCGACTCTCGAAATAAAAACTTTCATTAATCACCCCTTCAATAATGCATAATTTTTGTTTTTCGTTCATGTTTTTACAACATAATTATTCATTTCCGCTCGGAATTTATTTCCGGCCGTTTTTTAAACCAAACAATTCGAATTTCAGCGAGTTATTTATGGTAATGGCGTCTCTGTGTAAATAAATTAAAAATATTTCAGGTGTCTCAAGTCCCAAAGCTCCCGATTTATTTAAGATGCCCTGAAATACAAAAGACGAAGGAATTCCCTGGCTTGAGATAGGTTAGTGGCGTTTGGCATCATGGAGACGAGTAGGTTTTATCGCAACGCCCTATCAACATAATTTCCCAAGGCGTGATGACGGCGGACCCACGAGGCTCTACGTATTTATTACGATAATCCGGGAGGAACTGCCCAGACTCCGGATTACTCACTAGCGGGCTTATAACCGGATTGGTGGGCTTTTAGAGACATTGGTCCAAAAAAAAACTCTAAATAATTTGTATACTAGAAGTTATTTAAGATAAGACTCTCAGAATACTTAAAAAATATTTTTTGAAGTAACAAGTCTGCTGGAATTTGGCAAAAATACGTTAAATTAAAACATAAAAAAATACAAACTTACAGGTTGTTCCAGCGAGTTGGTAATGTTCATTATTTACTTTCAAATATTAAAATTTTTGAAGATTTATGTAAGCAATTGATAAATAGTAATCTAGTACAACCCTTGAAATTATTTTTAACTATACAGCGTGTTTCAACAATAAGTTACAATACAAACTTGTGTTTTTTAAATAAAGCACCATATGTTTGTTTTTTGGCATTTTTGAATGTAGCTTTACATTTCTAGATGAAAACATACCCTTCTTAAAAATCTATAACACAAAAAGTTAAAACAACTAAAGTCTGTTTTTGTGCCAAACAGTCTTAACGTTGGCACCACTAGTAAATTCATTTCTGGTAATTTTAATGAAAGAAGTTAGTAGTTCTGGTTTTTTGAATTAATTTGAAAACAATGTCATTAAACGTCAACATAAAAAATCGTCTAAGAAAATTTAGAGACGAAACACCAAAAAAGGAACAAATTCGGTACCGCTAACAGTTTTTAGAGATTTGGAAARGAATAGTTCGCAAGCAGGAAGTTAGAACAAGGACCCGTTAAAATGTAGAKGCAATTTGTAACGCAGGTTTGCTAAACATTCTCAATTTTTAG